ACAACTGGCCTGTTCATGTTGGGAAGAATGTTAAGAATTTTCAGGGGATTCCTTCAAGCTAGTGGTTGAGCCTAGGATTAGTCTTAAGCTTGCTACGAGCAAATGAGTGGGGTCCTGATTTTAGGTGACCCGATCTGGGAGGAGAACTGATACGTACCCGTAGTATCCAGAGACGACATTGATCCGAACCCTTTACAAGTCAAACGAACCCATTGGAATAATTATTAAAGCGAGAGATTACGATAAACCTATGTGCAATATGGAAGAACACACACCAGTTTAAGCACCAGCCAGAGGCCTAAGGAACCGAGATGTGGCCTTTTCGTGGCTAAAGGTGCGCTTGTTGCAGCGCCCTGGGGCTACCAATCCTTTCTAACGATGAGGACCGCCACCGACTCTGCTCCACCCCTCAGCGGATCGTTCTTTCGATTTCATTTTGTTGATAAGGTATGCCACTTCGAGCGCGTATCCAATAACTTCTCATGGAATGCTATTATCAATCAAGGTATGATCTCTGGTGGTATGATGGCAGCTATGGTTTAACGAGTGCCGACGACCTCTTAGTTGGTTGCCAACTCGTCCATTATCGGAGGTCAACGGGCAGAGGAAGTGGTCCCATTTTGCGCGTTTTTGACGGATTTCTTTGCTTTTTTCGCTACTAGGGCATTATTCAGCATCTTTTCCACTATGAACCCAGCACAATCCTATCGTAATCTCTCGCTTTAAACAAAATTAATTTCTTCACATTCAAGTACTTTTTTCAAACACGAAACATCGATCTTCCAACCTCACATGATGCTACGTAATGAAAAAAATGTAAGATATATCACTTGTACAAATGTTGATAAGGTAATATTTTTGTTGAAGGTTAGTCGATCCTGTCAGGAATTTACTGTTACAGATGACGGAGAGCATCGCAAACAAAATACGGACAAATTACCCGGGATTCATTATTGAAGAACGAGGATTGGTTGATGTGAAGGTTCGTAAAATTTTTCTTATGAAATAAGAGCCTAACAGGCAAGTATCCCACTCAAACTCAGCTCAACGTTCTCAAAAAAACTTTCTGGCTGATGGTCTTTTCATATCTTGCGCAGCTCACATGTTTTGTGTGTCGCATTGAATTAGAAACGAAAAGCGTATAACTTAATTTAAGCTTGCGTAATCATTCTATCATACTATGAGAGCGTAGTCGCTTAGCTTCCAACTAAGACTAGGTTGCAAGCTAAGCAAATATGCTCTCATATTCTGGAATATGCCAAGATTTATACAAAGTCGAACTTGGATCCTTTCATACAGGGGGGAGTCAGTCTAATCTATCAAAAAGGTTGACAGCCTTCTACACCGACGACATCAGAAGATTTTCCCACGGAAACATGGTTCACGGTACGAGCTCAACGAGGTCGTCGAGGTACCATAGACCATTACGACGTCCCTGAAACGCTGGTCAAAAGCGGTCTTGCACAGTCACAGCTAGTGTCTCTGGAAGCTATTCACCAGTTAATCCATTGAAGAAATTATGTAGCAGCTTCAGGCCGGAGCGATTACGGTAAGCCTCGTTGAGCTCGACGGTGACGGCAGATGACGTCATATTCTGAAGACGGTGAGGGCAGTGAAGGAGGGCCTGCTTCTGCTTTTGGGGGACACCTAAGGAATATTCTGCCGTAAAACATTCATCAACAACGGCATCCTGTGCGACGAAAAATTTGATGATGTGCGCCATGGGCAAAGTGACTCTTTTTTTGCTTCCCCCTGTATATTACACAATACTTCGTATTTGTGATTTCGGAAAGAGAGGGATTCGCTTTTTGGGTTGGGCAAGTCTTCATTGTAGAACGGGGTTGACGGAGGTTGTTAAAGGGGGTTGTGTTTGGACGGTTTTCTGTCGCATTTGGGGAAAGTTCTACAGAAGTAACGTGAAATAGATAAAACTGTAAGACTTGCCGCTTCATGATACTGTTTTACCCCTCCAATTCCCAGTTCGACGGTTTCGGAGGAAAGAGCAAAAAGTAAGTGAAATTGGGCTGTGTCGACTGGTCTCAGAAAATCAAATAATATGGAAACAGCCATGATGAGGGGGGGAGGGGTGGGGCGTTGAAAAACCCTCCCAAGGCTGCTCGTGATGATGGGGGTCGCATGGAGACTTCTCTAAAGGGGGGGGGGATCGCCATAAGTTTCGAAAAGTGCGATCGTGACGTTGACTCTGGGCTGAGCGCGCCTCTTGTGGATAGGACATTATTCAAGTGGAAGGCGCCAACAAAACATTTAGCAGATCCGTTCCAGGAAGATACAGAGAAGGGGGGGGATGTGGGTACTTGTTAACAGTAGGATGGGTAGTGGAATAAAGGATGCACACTATGCGTTGAACGAAGTAGATGCCGGAATGGGTTGGCCTTACTATTCACAAAAATTAACAGCTTGCTTCCAAAAAGGTTTCTGAGCATGTCAATGGCGGATATGTCTGAACTTCTGGCAAGTACTCCAAACGAACGATTCACTCAACTGGGCGAAGTTTGCTGCAAAAATCCATGTATCAGCTCCAAAAGATATGGAGATTGGCAAAAATAGTGTTAACAGCCAAGCGGGAGAGATTAAAATCAAAAACTATGATTCCACGTCTCGTTTCACTTGAGACTTGGATGACCTCCACTTTTCCTTACTTTTCAGTAATTTGAAGGTCGGATCTCCATCTATTTTCATATCTGTAATATAACAAATACGAAATACTTTTTTGCAATACATAAATAATGCGTGGAAATATTTCTTGAGAAATATTGTTGTATTTTAAGGGAAAAGGGCCAGTGTTCACATGTTTTCTCACCGGATGCATTGGATCTCGTCAATCTCCCGAATTTGTCATGAATGAACCTTCTGAGTACCCTACAACTAGACCTTCCGACGAGTTCTTCCAATTTTGACGTCATACTATTTCAAACAATATGATTCTTTGACATTCTTTTGTGGCTTTTCTTTTCAGAACGTCTGGTGGAATGTTCGAAATAAAATTGGAATCGTAGCTATCGTTCATCGTTTTTGTTTGCTTTCCTTGGTTCAGAAAGGTTCTGTGTAATTATTGGATGCTCTTCTGAAAAAGCGAAGCTCGCGCTTTCGGAAGAGCACCCAATACTTCACACAGTAATGTGTGTGACACCAACAAGCTGGTGTTTCAGATATTACCACACTGTTGTTTCAGAACCAATTAGATAAGTCGTATGGTATGTATTCCTATGGAAATTTTGTAAACAGCGTGGGCTAAAGATCGAATTATAAATTAACCCATTCGTGACAATGTCAGCCACCGGTGGCTGACAAAGATCTCACTCGGGACAATGGTATCCACCGTGGCTGCCGGTTTCAAATGGAATTTGGAAAGTTTTCTTCCTGAAAAGAATCTTCATACCCTCATTCATCTACGCCAGCCCTGGGCAGAGGAAATCTCCATCCACTCAAATTTTATTGAAGAAAAATCTCCTGACTCTCCTGCTACTGCGCAATCCGGCGCTGGTCCGAACGGGCAGACTTGAAAACGCTGCGCGGTCGCGAATGGGTTAAAGCGCGTCTTGTTCAATGGCAAAGGTCTGAAGGGTTTGACTTACAACTTCAACTGATCACTTCTCGATCTATATGTCCTGTTAGGCATCCCTTTAGCAGATCTACTGTTTTTCCAAGATTTCATTTCCTTCTTTATTCTGCCTTTATGAAAAAAAGCATCAACTCGCCCGTGGGATGCGCCATGCGTCCCACTTCTGTCGCGATCATCGCGATCGTTGTGCTTCCTCGTCCACGCCCCCATGTTCGAGTCCCTTTTGGTTGGCGCTGATGCCTCGAAGTGAGAGCAATAATTGTGTCTTGAATCACAACGTAAAGCGTTTGAGAAGGTACAACTTCTATCCCCAGTCGTAGCCAGTGGAATCCGATTTGTCCTACACAACACCTACGAAGAGCAGTGGTCCTTCCAAGCGAATATGACACCAAATAGTTGTACCACGAGGAATGAGACACTGGAGGCTTATGCAAGACGGATTCGGGGTCACGCACGGGCAGAGTGCCTTTGATTGAATAATAGCTCGTCCACGAGCTGCGACAATAAATAAACAAATAAACGGATGAATGAAGTCAGCGCGGACCTCGAGGCACTTCAGGTGAGTCACTGCGAGTCCAGGCCCAGTAGAGAGCGGCACGATTTCACGAGTCTCCGAACCTCTCACTTTTCGCAGGTATGCCACAAAACCGTTGACAACCTGGAAGATGATGAACCACTCGGCGGCTATCAATGTAGTAGTAGTTGTGATGACCACGAATTTCTGTGTGGTACTCCTGC